ATAGTTAGTTTGAGACCTTATGCATGTGTGTGAATGACATGTTGATAGGTTGGTCTTGTGATTGTGGCAATTAGGTGGTATGATAGGTGACATGACACGGGCACGGAAGGGCTAGTGCCTCGATAAAACCCAGATGGATGAATGTTCGGGACGTAGCTCAACTCTTTAATTTATTTTATGTTACAATATTATAATGTCGAGTTAAACATGTTTTCATTTTTTTACTAGCATGTCATAGAGTTGTAATTTTGCCTTCCGCCTTCCATGCACATGCATTAAGTGAGGTCGATTCCAGGTCAGACAGCAACTTCACACATAAGTGTGAATCCAATATACAGTTGATTAGGGTAGCTTAAGAGGTGCTCATGTCACAATCACACTCTTGTGGTAGCATGACAACGATTATGCTGAGTCGAACAAGTTAGCTGTGTGAAATTCAGACTTCATGGACAATATCGACGTATGTCGAGCCTTAAATCATGTTTGAGAAAAATGTTTTAGAAAACAATGTTATAGGCTAAAAGCGAGTGAGTAACAACAATGATTTTGATAGCATATAACCCGAGTAGGAAGAATTGACAACTAGTCACATCCTCTATAGTACATTTTGGACATTTTAGCCTTGACAAGTATATACATGATTATGGTGAACGATCATATACCTCTGTATTGACACAACAAGAACAGTAAAGACTTATCCAACATGAAAGTAAGTAAGAGGAGTTTGGAACAAGCATATGGCCATGGACAACACGGCCTAGACATTCGACATACCGTCATAGGCAATAGGTCTTGGACAAACATGACTGTGATAGGTAGCACCGACAAAGTTCCACACCCCTTATTCACACGTTAGATTTATTCTAATAGTTCTAAGTTTGAAATAAATAAATAAATAATGGTTGCGTATAGTATGCTTTATGGTTAATAAATATTAAAACAAAATAAATACAAAAACATTTCTGTATAATTGGAAGGTTTTGCGTGTTCAATAATGAAGATTCCTGGTGGCGGTGCCAACTGTATCATAGCTGTCACTAAATAAATTCCATCCCCAAAATCTCCTTCTTCAACCTCACGCCAGATATTCTTCTTTCCCTTTTTACCCTTCCTCCTTTTTTAATTCAACTCCGCAAAGACGCGTCCTCCTCTCCAATGCCGTTCCCCTTCACCTCTCCATTTTCACTCCCTTCAACTCACTGCCGAGCTCCACTGCCTTCTTCAAACTGAGCCGCCGGAATCCTTCTGAAGCTCCGACAATGCACGCCAAAACCGACTCCGAAGTCACCAGTATTGCGCTCTCTTCTCCCACCAGATCTCCCCGCCGTCCGGTTTACTACGTTCAGAGCCCTTCCAGGGATTCTAACGATGGCGAGAAGACTGCGACCTCGTTTCACTCTACTCCTGTTCTCACTAGTCCCATGGATTCCCCTCCCCATTCTCGTTCCTCCGTCGGCCGTCACTCCAGAGAATCTTCCTCCAGCAGATTCTCTGGATCTCTTAAACATGGATCCAGGAAGATCTCTCCCAATGATGTCTCTCGCGGCGGCCATCGGAAGGGACAGAAGCCATGGAAGGAGTGCGATGTTATTGAAGAGGAAGGTCTTCTCGAAGATGAAGATCGGGAGAGATCTCTTACTCGTCGCTGCTATATCCTCGCTTTCGTTTTGGGATTTTTTCTTCTGTTTTCTCTTTTCGCTTTGATTCTCTGGGGTGCTAGCAGGCCGATGAAGCCCAAGATCACAATGAAGGTACGACGTCGAGTTCTTTTTTGGAATTAGGGCTTTTTGTTTGTGTTTCGGAGCGAACGATTTAATTTCCCTCAATTGCAGAGCATTAAATTTAATCAATTCAAAGTCCAAGCCGGTTCAGATTTCACCGGCGTCGCCACCGACATGGCCTCAGTGAATTCCACAGTCAAACTCACATTTAGGAACACCGGAACATTCTTCGGCGTCCATGTCTCTTCAACTCCCGTCGATTTAACATATTTCGAAATCTCAATCGCATCAGGAGCTGTAAGTTCTCAAAACCCTAACCCTAACCCCCAAACTTCTCATCATCGAATCTGAACCAATTATGGTTTGAATTTGCAGGTTAAGAATTTCTATCAATCACGGAAGAGTCAGAGATCTCTCACCATCAATGTAATCGGCACAAGAATCCCACTGTACGGCAGCGGAGAAAGTCTGAGCAGCCCCGCCGGAATTCCTATAACTCCAGTGCCATTGAAACTGAGCTTCGTTATCAGATCCAGAGCCTACGTGTTGGGGCAATTAGTGAAGCCAAAATTCTACAGACACATCGATTGCCCCATAATTTTCGATCCCAAGAAACTCAACGTTCCCATGTCACTCAAGAATTGCACAGTCAGCTGAAAACGAAATCCAAATCGATAATCAATCACTTCATCATTTATTAAATCAGTACTTGTTTTCTTTGTTCTTGAGGTGTCTAGGAGTTCCAAACTGCGACAGCTCGAAAGCGGCATCCAAACAGGAAACGGGAAAGGGCAATAGAGGAATAAGCGACAGAAACGGGGTTTCAGCTGCCTGCCCGTTTGCCCGAGTAGTGCAATACAGGTTGGTTTACGGGCAGCGACACGTGAATGGACGTGGACTTTATTATTATTATTTATTTTCAAATTAATAATTTATAATAATATAATTAAATTTTAAAATTACATTTTTCCCGTTCATGATTGTATTATTATTAGTCTTAATAATGGATTACGTATCTTTTTTGAGTCTGATTTGTGATTTGGCCCATAATGAACGGTGGCTGATTGGTAAAATAATTGTGTCGAGAGGGGCCAATTTGTCTTTTGGATGTTTGTTGTTTTTGTTGACTTCAATTATTTATATATATTATTTTATTTATTTCGTGGAAAATGGTAAGAGATTAGTAAAGTAAAGCATAATTTCAAGCATTTTTTTAATCCATGTAATAATGCATGCATGTGATGATCTTTGACTTTATAATTGTACCAAAAATATAAAAATAAAAAAGTCTTTATAATTTTATTTGTTTGATTTGCCTTACAATCACTATCTAATTATATTACTTTAATCTTTATTTCTTTATTCAATTAATAAAAATAGATTGTTTAATAAATACTTCTAAAATTTCACATTCTTATTATCCTTTCAATTTCATTTGTGTTGTGATGAAGACTCGGATTGTCTTAATTAGGTGCTACACCTCAAGGCGTAATCCGATCTAAAATGAATAGATTTGGCGGCCTTGGGACAATCAAAAGAACGAAACTAGTTATCCTACCTTATGTTTTCTTCTTTCCTCTTTCTCCCAGATTCTCCATGGGTGATGAGCTAGAATTAATGTTTTTTATATATGATATGAGAAATCGAATCCCCTTCGGTTCTTTCATTCTCTGCTTTTTGTCCATGTCTAGTCACTTAAAACGCTATCTTCTCTGATGATAGAAAGAGGTAATAAATAGAGAAGGCGATGCACTAAAAGAAAACTAAAAGAAATGACTCTTAGAAAGTAGTGCCTCCATGTCCTCAGACGATGCACCACTATGCACCACTGCTGTCGTCTCTTTCTTTGTCTCGAAGGAGAGCTGCTTTAAAAATACTCATGAGCTCTCCAATGTAATTTTTGGAGAGGTCACTAAACATAGAGGTTTCTATGGGCACGTGGGCTTGGACTTTTAAAATGTTTTGGGCTTATCAACTTTGGATCTACTTTTTTGGGCTTGGAATTTGTCCGCTTAAAACCAAAGTTGATAACCATAAGGGTGGGCTAGAAAAAGTCGAAGATGGTTGCTAGCGAACGTATGATGCTATGATTGAAAATGTATATGAACGAACCAATATCACATTCGAATGAGAAAGATCCTACTAATACAGTTTAATAAATCCACTTGAGAAAGCTGAAAAAGGTAAATATCACGAGATTATGAATGAATTAAGCTTAATCTATCCTTCTATTTGTAGCGGTTATAATCATAATAATAATAATTTGAAAAACTACATTTGTAACAATCAGGATTCGAAGTTCGAATGACCCCGACATTCTCCTGTGAGAGGAGTACTTTACTTTCACTTATAAGTGTGAAGACTATTTCACATACCAACATAAAATTACTCCAAATAAACTACGTTTGACTACGGAGTTCCCATAATTGAGCCACTGAAAAGAAGATGCAGCTTATTAGTACAAGTAATAACTTTCATTTATTTAAAATCTTTCTTAGTCATCATATCCTCAAGATCACTCTCATTCAGATGCAATCACGGTTAATTCATGTACCTCTTCTTTACTTGGATGTCACAAATAATTAAAATCTCATGAAACTCAAACATAAAACATTTACGAAGTAGCAAGCATCATTAACCTCCGTTACAAATGATTTATACTTTCCATTTTCATAACAATTTTAAAACAGTACACTATTGGGTCGGATTGTAAACTTATTTTGGGTTGACTTGACCAAACAAATTTCAATACTGACAAAATTTTTAATTCTTAAAAAATTTAACTAGACTTATATGAACAGTCATATGAACAGTCCTAGATATCTCAACTAATTAAACTCGAGTTATATTATAAAGCAGATACCATTACCGAAATATTCTTCTTATTAATTTGTTAAATATATATTATTTTATTATTATTATTATTATTTTGTGGTAAGAATACGAACCATTATTTAACTGACGGTAAGGTAAAAGGTTAAAAATTAATGTTCCCTTCAAATAACTATTTACAGTAAAGAGTGGTAAAAGGTAAATTTAAAAAAAAAAATTAAAAAAGAAAAAGATCCAATTTTTGAAAGTTTCATAATATCTTTGTCGTGCAATCATTTCGCTTCGTACGATAAACCCTAAACCATATATAATAATATTATATATTCTCTTTCTAGAGTTTCGCACGTGACTCCCTAGATCTATACGTGCGGGCCACTCGTGTAAAACTTTTTTCTTTTATAACACACAAAAAAAAAAAAAAAACTGTATATTTATATAAAATAAAGGTTAAATTATAAATTTGAAATAAAACTTGGTATTAAACACAAAACAACAAACGAGAGAGAAAGGTTACCATAGTTACAAGAAAACTCGTTACACACTTCACTTGAATTCTTTACAAGAACACCTAACCATGCCACAACAAAACTGCGTCGATACTATCTGTCAAAACAAGATCATGATTGCATTGATCAACATTCATAAAAACTTTTGATCGAAACAAAATTTCTGTTCAGGAACAAACTACAGACATGGAGTCTAATGATCACAGTTATGCTTGTCTAGGGCGTGTTGCTCGTGGCTGCATGCCCATGTCATGCCGAACCCTTTATTTAATTTCATGTTGTATTGTCTTACTATTATATTTGTTGTTTGTACGACTACTTACCAGACCTGAATCACCTAAAAATTAAAATTTACTATATAGTGTGACTAATTGTCAACTCCTCTCCTGATCTTGTATGTACGTTAGGCAAAATCTTGTTTACTCCTGTTAGACCTAAATCGCCTCAAAATACAATATAGAGGATGCTACTAGTTGCCAAATTCCCCCTACCCAAGAAATTATATTTTATTTAAGCAATTATCTCTCTTCTGCCCCGTTTTCTAAAACCTTCTTCTCAAACAGGGCCAATAGCTCGAGCATAGCTTGGTCGTATGCGACGCGAATACAAATTGGCTTGACTCACTTAGTGTTGGGAGTGAGTGTCGCACAATCGCAAAATCTACTATCAAGAAAAGTGCAAGTGTGACACCCAGCTCTTAATCCTATACGAAAAAAGATTGTGGCTATATCGAAATTGTTTAACATGAATGTAAAAAGGAGATCGAGTGTTGATCGAGCTACAAACGCAGCAACAAACACGACGTGAGTAAGAAAATTAGAGATCTAACCAAGAAAGAAGTGTCACCTGGTAGAATGCAGCACTAAAAAGCATGGCAGGTGAAACAACCACTTAGGGAGCTCATATGACGGCTTCGATTAAAAGATAGAGACTTGAAAGAAGATGTCCTGTTATCTTGGAGGGACTGGTTTCCCATCACTGAGTTCCTCATTTCTTGGGCTTTCTTCTGAGCAGATTTCAGTTTATTCATGATCTTATGCATCGAGCTCGCTCGCTTCTTCTCCAGCTTCATCTGATGTACGATGCACGATGCTCGATGAGTAGGAGCAAGAGCAAAACTACATATAATCCAACATTTCTAAATTTATAAACACCATAAGAAATGTTAATTATATAGAAGGCTCGAACCTCTAGCTTTCGTATAGCTGCATCGGCCTTCGCTTTCTGTAGATTCTCCCACGCAGCTATTTTCGCTTCCTCACGCTTAACACTGCAACGAGAGATCGGTCAGCAATCATTTTATATGCTTATTTGAATTGTAGGATTTAGTTCTAGTCAGATACATGACACACAGGCAGGTAGACATACTTTGAAATACTTTTTCCCATGATAGGAATGTCTAAATCCGGACAACGAGAAGCCACATCCACATCGTTCTTCCTCTTGTAGTCGAGAGAATCTTTCCGAGGAAATGACCCTTTATGTTTCTTCGACCATCTTGTCGTGGCGACCTGATTATCGACTTGCACGTCCCTGATATCCAACTTAGAAGAAGTAACAGCTCCCAGCTCAAACATATGCATAGCAGATGAAGTGGAGGCAGTGATTGACGACTTCGTCCTTGGAGATGAATGCATGCTATCCTCCGGGCTCATTTGTGTAGCCACGTCCCTTCTTGAAACAACACGAGAAACGTCTGTCCCCGAGTTCTTGACTGTAGCTAAGTTTTCTCTCGATCCTGCAAGATATCATCTTTTTCATTACAACAATACGGTCAAGAGTAATCTTATGTTGTTGATACTAAATCCACACGGTTAAGCTACGTCCTTACTCGAGAATTAAGATCCATCATACTATTGCACAAAGAAAACATGTCCAAGTAATTATAATGCAAGATAAGATGATCAGTGCGCAGCTTTTACCATCTTGCAAGCCTGTTGTTGATGACAATTGACCCGACATTTCAGAGCAGCCATGAACGCTAACTGAGCGTGCCATGGAGGGCTCTGTTTGTCCATGAAAGGACCCTTCATGTCCACCAGAATGAACAGCCAAACCATTCGTTGATACAACTCCAGCTGAAAATGGGGATTCTGTAATGAAGTTCCTAAAAGTCCCACATTCATAGGCAGGAGCAGCAGGTGAATACATCGAATAGTATGCAGTACCAGGAGGGCCAAGCGGACCACTCTTCGACTTCGGACGCTGTTGAGGACGTTGAGCTGAAGTCCTCACAACCCCATCACTGGATATAGGACTAAAGATCCACCTTTCAGCATCTTCCCACTTCGATGGCAACGTTCTGCCACTGTTGAGAGTCAGCAATGCAGGGTTATTAGTATGTTTCCGGCCACCATTGTTCGGAAATGGCACTCGCTCTGAACTCCACCCTTTTTGCATACTAAAGCTATTGTGCCGATAACTCGGCGTCCCAGGGCTTGGAAATGTTGCAGTCTTATGCGTCGTTACTACAACGTTCTTCTTGACAGCCGTTAAACGAGGCGAGGAAGCTGTATTAGCGTTGTTTAGATCCAACAAAGCAGGTTTCTTTTCATCCAGCTTACTGGATTGAGCTTTAGATCTGGATCTATGATCTTGACACTCTGTAAAATCAACCCAGTTCAAGTAAACATTGCAGATAAAGACCGAGGAAAGGGAAAGGAGTTGGATCTATAATACCTTTAAGAGCAAGAGAAAACGAATTCCTCGCTGAATCGACCGTTCGATTCTCGTCGTCTAAATCGACATTGCTTTCATCTTTATGAACTGAGAGAAAACCCAATTAGAACCGAATTTGAAGTGCCTAAAAGTTTCTGTGGGTATGAGATTCTACTTTTTTTCTTTTTATTCTTTTGCCACGAAGCTCAAAAACTAGCTGTACCTTTCGCTTTTTCTCCATTTGTATAGAGACGACTGTGCTTGTTGCTTAGTGCAGGCTTGTTTTGTTCTGGATCTTCATCATGCCCTGCCAAATGCTGCAATTAAAATCATACAACAAAAGTTTTCAATCAAACCTCTGTTTTTCCATCCATATTTGTTCATCAATCATCTTCAAAACCCTAATTTAATTACAGTGTTTATACAAAGAAATCTCCTCAAATCGTTTCTAACATGTGGAATTACTCGGAAAATCGAAAACCCCATCAGAACAAACTAGGAATAAACAAACCCATTATCCCAAATCGTTTCTAATCTCAGAAATCACCCAGAAAAACGAAACCCCACCAAAATAAACTCGAAAATAAACAACCCCATTTGAATCCATGCAAGAACAATATATAAGGAAACGAGATTTACAAGAGAGATTTCAGAGATAAGGGAATCGCGATCGTGGGCCTCTGATGCAAAAGAACATCGCTCAACACTAGCAGAAGCAGAGGAGAAGAGACTAAAACTGGATTCGAGCGCATAAATGACAGAATCAGGACTGGAATCCCGAGCTCTGAAAGCTGGTCTCGACAACGCCGTTTGTTCTCGAAACCCCATCTCCGACAACGTCTTCACTCTACTTCCCTGCATACATTACAGTCTTAAAATCCCCAAAAAGAGAGAAGGAATCGCAAAGAGCCTTGTGCAAGGACGATAACAATCCGTCCAAGTTCTTGCACACTTGGGGATTAGAATAAACAAACGGTTCCACTTCTTGGGATAATGGGCTCCTCGTGGAATCTTATTTATTATCGAACTTCAGCGTAGAAAAAAACAGAGCAACCACTCTGTTTCCGTCGACTAGAGACATATTTCCTAACGCCCGTAAAAAAAAAAACCCAGGAATAGTTTGGATTTGTATAACGGAAAGGTAAAGAAATTGATGAAAAAGTATAGAATCTCTGCGGCGTTCCCGTTTGAACGGCGAGCAAAACTGCAGCACCGACATATCTATCAGTGGCCCTGGCAGCGCCTCTGTCCCAGTTGTCTGCATCCAAGTAGCTTGCCTAACTTGGGCCTTCTCCTTTTTCAATTTTTAGCCCAAAAGTCCACAAAAAAAAAAAAATATATATATATATATATAAAATTATCCAATAATATTTCTAATTTTATATTTAATAAATATTTGTTGAAATTAATTTTTAAGTATGGAAATTGTGTTTTAAAAGGGTAGGAATGTAAATTAAATGTGTATTTTAGAATAATCTTTAATTAAAGTGATTTTAATAAATAATAAAAAGAAAAAAAAATGGAGTTAGTGGTGTGATAATGAATAAAGTAAAAGATTAATTGAAAAGTGTGCATGTGATGGGCAGATTAAATAAATGTAAATTCTAAAAAAAGAAATTAATTATTAAAAAATATTACCATAAAATGAAGCAAATGCATGTCAAGGGATTGACCTTGAAAATGTGGAAAATTAAAAATAGTAATAATTGGAATATCTTTTTTCCACGTCAGACTCTGACCCACATTTTAAAATATTTAAAACAACTTTTCCAACTATTTGTTTTAATTAATTAAAGCATATAATTTATAATAAATTCATTAAAATAATATGATGAAAAAAATAAAATAAAATAAAATAAAGTTGGCTCTCAGCTAATCTAAGGACTAAAGCTTCCGTTCCATGGTCATCATCATGAGCTACTTTTCTTGAACTAGACTAAATGTTTTATCATTACTTGCGTGTTTTCTTTGGAAATATTTCAGAGCTTACTCAACCTACGATTGTCTCAAATCAAACATGTTTTATGATTAAGCTACCGAAAAAGACGAGACACCTTGTTAATATAAATAGTAACTATTAATTTTTTTAAGCCTTTCTAATCATGGGTTCTTATCCTCGTAATCACTTCGAGTCGAAAATAGTCATGATTCATTTATGTGCACCTTTTTTATTCGAACCTCGTAATTTTTCTTTGCTCTACTAACCCTACAAACACAACCTTCTAGTTACTTTCTATATTAGCCTCCCCCTTCAACATGTTGACTCTTATTACTCCATTTTAATGCACTTTTAATGATGGTGTGACACTCAAATTTCACAACCGTTTTGGTAAACACTCACTTAAAAGATTGAGACGTTTAAAGTAGTTTACAAGTTTCGTGTCTGTTTAATTGGGTTATGTGTAACGATCCAAGTCCACAGCTAGCAGATATTGTTCGGTTTGGCCTAACATATCGTCATCAAGGGAGAAGTTTCCACACCCTTATGAGGAATGCTTCGTTCCTCTCTCCAACCGATGTGGGACCTCACAATCCACCTCCCTTGGAAGCTCAACGTACTCATTGGCATATTATCCCGTGTCGAGCTCTGATACCACTTGTAACAGTCCAAGTTTACCGCTAGTAGATATTGTCCGCTTTGACCTGTTACGTATCGCCATTAGACGGTTTGTGAGAGATTTTTACACCCCTATAAAATATGTTTTGTTAGGGAGAAGTCTTCACATTCTTATAGAGTATGCTTTGTTCCCCTCTCGAACGGAAGTGGGATCTCACATTATGTTTATTAGGTCATTTAATTTTCAAAAATCTTTTAGACACTCGTTTATCGACCATTTTATTAGCTGGGTTTTGATTTTTATAGCTAAGTTCGTACTCGAACACAATTTTGATTTTGATTTGATTAGAGTATTTTGATAGTTGAATTTTTATATAATTTATTAGTTGAAGGATGCATTATTTAACCATTTATCCAACTTGAAAAGTTTGGAAAACTTCAACCACAAGTGTACTATCGGTGAACATAGAGAGAGGTCTGTATACATCTCAACGTCTAAGGACAGGACCACGGAAACACACAAGAAATATTAGGTTGGTTTGTGTTTGCTTCTCGAAGTTGACCTGATGTGTCGGTTGGCAAGATAATGTACGAGCACCGTCAAACTCTAAACCCTAAATCTTAAACCCGTTTTCTTTAGAAACGTTTATCGATCTGTCTCTTGGGAGTAACTATTAGTTTGATAAAGACATCTCGATCATATAAGTCCAACTTTTACTGGTGTGAAAATAATGGAGAGAAATAAGTTTAGGAGAGTTCGAGTCAGATTTCATTAGTTTATTATCGAGAGTTTTAGGATAATCGTTTTCAAATCATGCATATTCATAGACATGAGAGGTGAATGATTATACTTTCAACTCATAGCTCATCATACACTATGAACAGTTCAATCGAAATGGATTCTTTCTTAGAGATTAGTCGGTGACTTCCTAATATGGCACATAATGTTGTCGTCATCAAAGGAAGAAGTGACCCACATGTCTACCAACTAATGTTTACTTGTGTGCACCATTGTCCGTAGCCGAACAAGTTGACAAGTAAGGGGTAGTAGGAGGCCCCCAGGTTATTCTCACACGTAGTATTCTTATGACACTATAAACCTTAATACATATCATGACATGACTCTATCCATATCAACTTGTAATCATAAAAAAAAAAAAAAAAAATACACGTGGACTCTTGTCGATCGAGGTAGGTTACAATTAAAGATTACTTGGTGACTGTTTAATAATCCTCACATTGTGCGATCATAACAGGGGAGTGATCCCACATCATAGCTAACTATTAAAAACACTATATAAATTTTCATTAATCGAGACACGCGCAGTTCGGATCAACTCGCAGGTTGTTGAGTCGGTTCAAGTTCGAATGTTGATTCTTTGACTAGTTGTGGGTTTGGGTTGTGAGTTTCAGCCAATTTTTGGCTAATTTTCATCCGTTCTTATCCATTAATTTTGAGACACAAGGGGCTAAATATATATTTAATTTTTCCTATGTTATCGTTAATTTCCTAACGTTGAATATCGGAAGATTGCTTAAGAAAATGGAATAAGCACGTGGATAATTTTGATATTTGGATTTTTCGGTGAGTATCAACGCTTTGTAATGCTAAAATGATAAAACAATTAGCTACTCATTCACTCGTATAAATGATTGTGAATAGCATATGGTCCCATAAAGAGATTTTGTGTCCTACCCATATCATTTGATTTAACGATTAATATCATCATTGCCAAGATTCATAATTCTGAGTTCCTTCAAAATATATGGATTTCGTTCAAAATAATTTAGCATCTCAAATAAATATCTTGAATTCTTGACTTTCATTCAATAACTTATAAAATTATTTTAAAAATACACTTGAACTTTTAAAAGTTTCATTGATACCAAATTTTTTAAAAAACTTCAAAAATACATTTGAAGAGTGTTAATAATATATGGAAGGAACCGTCAGCACTACATTTAAAAAATATTTATAAACTTTCATAAATAACATTAATATCGCTAAAAAAGGTTTTAAAAGTTTGTAAAGTTTGTATAGTTTTCTTCCTTTTTTGCCATTCAAATAGTCCACAAGTCCATAATTTGGTTAAGAGGGAGGGAATTTCGACACATAGTCACATGGTAAAGGTTATCTGGATCTCGACTTAAGAAGAAAAAGTCAAAAAATGGGTCGAGGGAGGAGAAATTGTTGGGAGAGAATCCCACGTTCGCTAATGTAGGGAATGATCATGAGATTATAAGTAAGGAATAGATCTCTATTGATACGAGACTTAAACACAAAGTAAAGTCACGAGAATTTGGCTATGCTAAGCTAATCTCAAGCTTAGACCTATCACAAGTCAAAACTAAAAGATTACAAAGCAAATCATATGGCAATGGTAGCCAATGAATTCAACCTCTTCAATCCTGCTTCCAGGATTGCCATTTACTCGACCTGTCAGCAGCAGCAGCAGCGCCATAGGAGGGTGGAGGAGCTGTATGAATCGAACAACGCAGGCTTTGCGTTCGTTCCAAAACAATCGATCGAAGTCCTTATGATCGATCAACTTAGAACCAAATCCAACACCTTCAGCAAAATATGTACACCGCCATCTATAGCATTATTCTTTTGGCCCGAGATCGGATAACGTCCTCCGAAATCACCACGGACCAGTCTGTGTTCGTCTTAAGCATCGTTTCTTCGTTCCTTGTTGTGTATCCATTACTTTCAATGCCTATAACCAAATGTCAGAATTCATCAACAACAATACAAAGCAGAGGTTGTCTCATGCAGAAAATTGCAGTATTAAAAGGTAGAATGGTTTGATGAATGGTTTCACCCACACTACTACTAAAGATATCAAAGGGGAAAGCGTACCCGGTTATTGTGCATTTCCATGATTTCTGCCTGCAACAACCACACAACATAATAATTGAGAATTGGTGATGCCCGTTACTTGATTAACAAGCTCAAGCTCACTCTTGTGTCATAGACAAACTTTTGTACCTGTTTTTGCCGGAGTTCTTGGTTCTCCTCTTTCAGCTTCGCCACCTCCACTTCCAGTTCCATCGTGTAAGCCTAGTACGAGCAAAGAAAAAATCATGAACATAACAGCCTTAGCCTACCGCTAATAGATATTGTCCTTTTTGGGATTTACTTCAAGATTTTTAAAACGTGTATGCTAGAGAGAGGTTTCTGCAGCGTCGGCTAGGAACAGGTTTTAAAACGTGTCTTTGGGGACCAGCGTCCTTGCTGACACTCGTCCCCTTCTTCAATCAATGTGGGCCCCCCAATCTACCCTCCTTCGAAACCCAGTGTCCTTGTCGGCACACCGCTTGATGTCCACTCCCCTTCAAGGCTTAGCCTCCTCGCTGGCACATCGCCCAGTGTCTAAGTCTAATATCATTTGTAATGGCCCAAGCCCATCGCTAGAAGATATTGTCCTCTTTGAACTTTCCCTTTCAGGCTTCCCCTCAAAGTTTTTAAAACCCATCTAATAGGGAGAGGCTTCCAGACCCTTATAAAAAATGTTTTTGTTCTCCTCCCCACTTGAGGTAGGATCTCACCATCTCAATCAATACAAAACCAAAATATCTATGAATGCATCTAATAAAGAATAGATCAGCATATGGTATGACATGCTTAAGTAGTTGGGTATACAAATGCATCAAATGGTTGGTTTCACACATTGTTTTAGTCTGCAAATAACCATATATCACAACTCCAGGTACACATAGCCACATGGAAGCATGTCAACAAGA